TCTATGCTTTGACTCAATTGCCTCCATCATAAATCTCTAATCTGCCCCTAACCCGAGCCCTGAGGGGAGGTTTGTGACATTTGACATATCCTTTAATCTGCCCCTAATCCTAACCCGAGCCCTGAGGGGAGGTTTGTGACATCAGTAAACCTTTGGTTAGCATTTGCAAATTAAGCTGTGGGCAGGTTCTTGGATTGCACCTCAAGGAGCCTTTTTTAGGATCTCTCAAATTTCCTCATGCTTTCGAATCGATCTTCCAGTGTATTCTCCATAGAAGAGAACCTTCCATCACAAATTTGATTGGACTCATCTCTTCCTCCAATTTTTTTCTTCTGATCATCAACTTTCTTTGACGTCCTCTCTTTCTCCAATTACTAGTCTAAGGATATGTTTATGGAAAAAAAGAAAAACGGCAAGATAGTCTACACCTTCCTACAGACCAGCCGCAGAAGGAATGCGATAGGAGCCCTTCTAAAACGGCAGAAGAAGCAGGAGATCCACGCTGTGATTCAGCGAAAGGAGCAGGGAATCCAGCGAAATCCTCGCCCGTCCTCCGATGCGATCTCATCGCTGCTTTCCTTCGCTGAAATCACGGCCCTACTCGGTGTCTTCGTGCAAGGGATCGCGGTTGCGGTTTATTCCATCTACTTCAAATGATAATGGGATTTATCAAATGAAAAAAAGAAAAAAAGAAAAAAAAGATTTTGGTAACTAAATGAGTGCCTCATTACAATACTATTTTTAGCTTTACCAAAAATAACTAGAAACTTCTAATTTTATAACCATGTTTTTTAATATAGATTGGATAGTCTTGCATAATGCCTAAATAATAGCTCATGCTTTTAACTAAGAGTCTGTTTGGGGCAGCTGCAACTTATTGAATAATATGCTGATAAGCTAATTAAGAATAATATGTTGATAAGTTATGTGCGATGACTATTACAAATTTTTATTTTTTTTGAAAATTCAGACCGCTGCCAGAAAGTTCCCACTGCACTTAGATAGGTACGGTGTGAAAATGTTGTTTTCGGCGTTCTGAAAACGCATAAGTTGCTAAAACACAGTTTACCCAAACAGTCCAGATGCGTTTTCAAAATGTCACTGCACCAAATAAGCTACCCCAAACAGACCCGAAATCAATTTTTATACGAAGAATTAATCTACATAAGATTTAGAGTTGATAGTTTTCTTGCTTTGATGATCAATGTATAAGTAAATATCTTCATGAATCATCAAAGTTTGAAGTATTTCATTTTGTACAAAGGCCTTAATTTTTGATAAGAAAGATGCTAGAATTGCTAAAGGATTTTGATCAGTAGATTTAGCATCACTCTAGGAAAGCTAATGCTACAACATATGAATTAAGGAAAAAATTAATTTTAAGTACCTTGATGCCTTTCTAACCTGAAAGCTATTAAACTCAATTAAATAGATCTACTAATATTTAAATTCAAATTGAAATAACTTTTTGCAAATCATATAACCATGTAATTTTTTTTTAATATGAACTTCTTATTCTATATTTACACAAATATCACGCAATTCTTAAAATTGAACAGATCTAACTCCTGGACTTTCACATATACATTTACAGCACTTTGGTGTCATAAACATATGAAAGAAAAGACATAATTCACTTTTCAAAAGTAAGTAATAGTAGGTCTTTAAATGTGATGTTAAAAATTTAAGTGGTCTGCATATACATTTGAAATTCTAAGCTATGCATAAAAGTATACAATTTCAAGTGTTATATGTGTACATACATGAGAACTATGTGATACATATATAAATGCCACTAATATGCATTGACAGTGAAAAGTAAAAAAATAAATTAGTTGAGATTCTAAGTAAACATTTCACAAATAGAGTGATGTAGGTTGACACTAATGGCCAAATGGGACACTTCAAAATTTACTGACACCAATATGGAAGTAGGATAATATTACAACAATCTTTTGTCACTAGACAACTCTAAGTCATCACAAAGATAATAACATGATGCAAGTATTAATAGATCACTTAATTAAGAGTGCATATTGCTTACCTGTTTATCAAGTAAAAAAGGAAAAATAAATTAGTTCGACAATGCTTGGAGAGTATAGTTTTATTATAGGGTGTTTCACACACATTATCTTTAACATAGATGGTTGATTTTACTCCAAATCATGGAAAACAAATCAAAATAGCTTTAGGGACTTAACTTAGCTTTATGAGCATACCATTCAAACTCTGAGAGATCCACTTACTACGTGATTTGGATCTTTATATTAGCTAGGAATGAGTTTTGTCATTAGTAGAGTTTTCTATGTCAATAACAATAATGAAGCAAATTGGTATAACACCTTTTGAGGCATTGTATGAAAAGAAATGCAGATCATTTTTTATATTTGAATGGATTGGGATACAATTGATAGGAACTGTTGGCATCTATTTTTGATGAAATACACATGCAGGGCTATATTGGGTGTTTGCACCGTCATAGTCGGGTTCCGAATCGAGCGTTGTGAAAACCGACATCAATTCTGGTATCCTTTGTATTGACGCTCGTTCCTGTGGCATAGGGGTTGAATCTTTCTTATATGAATATTTCTGTGACGTAGATCATTGAAGAGGTTACCCTACACCAGGTCTATACCTTAGGCTTAAAGTCCGAACATATAGATTTCATGTTAGAACCATTTTACTTGACGACACATATACAGTTCATCTTCTTGACCTCTTTTGATACATATTTACAACTCCTCTGAAGGTGCGGAGATCATCTTACTAATTTCCGACCCTCTAAGGTTCGCACGAGGTTCAAAACTCCTCAGAAGGACTCTTTCTGGAGCCTAAAATTTCTGGGGTATGGCGTGACCATGCCAAATTCAGGTGTGGTCATGCCCAAACAGTGGCATGACCATGCCCAAACTGGGTCTGGCCATGCCAAGAATTCCCAAAACAACCCATAGGCTTTATGGTTGGTGTGACCACGCCGACTTTCCAGTGAGGCCACACCCAAATCACCAGAGGCGCCCAAGTTCGTCAATCGGCATCACTAAGCCTAAACATGGCATGACCACGACGACCAAATAGAGCGCCGACTATATGGCTTGGTCACGTCGACCTCCAATTCTCGACGTTTGCTACAGTGGCGTGACCATGTTCGAGCCCGGTGTGGCCATGGTGGTTGACCTGCTTCGTGAATTTGGTCCTCCAGTCATCGAATTTCCACCAACAAAGCGGACATGACCGCTGGTCTACCCCCTTTTGCCTAGTTCTTCACCCAAACATGGCATAGAATATATTTTGGGCCCATTCCAAATTGGGAAAGCGGCTTGGGATTATTGGATCTTTTCCCTATAATTGAAGAAACCATTAGGGAGGCCTTACTTAGAACGAATCGACTGTCCATTTATGAGGAAGAGAGCTTGGGAGCAAGAGAGATTGGAGAGGAGCTTCTAAGGAGATTTCTTTCTTGAGGGATTCATCACCTTCCACAAGGAGAGCTTCTTCCTCTTTCCTTCATTTCTCTGATCATCTTCTTGGTCTCCGAACGACTTCTGACAAGTCGATGAAGAAAACTTCTTCACTGCTTCGGGGAAGGGCAGCTCCAGCCATTTCTTTGTTTTCTCCAGTGAGGAGAGCTTCTTCACATTTTGAGAAAGGCAAAATCTGGCGGCCTCGTCACTCTCTTCGGCCAGGAGAGCTTCTTCCTACAAAACCAACACTTCGATTAAACATCATGTAGATAATCTTTTGCAATTTTACTCCTAGTGGCCCCTAAATTTAGATGTTAGAAAAATTAGGTTAAGATTTTTGTGTTCATAGAGGAAGCCCAATATGATTAGATGCTTTGTATTATCCCTTGCGAAATCCAAAAGCAAAACCTACCCATTTCTAATTAAGATGAAGTTGTGCTAATAACACAGTTTCTATCGGTGATTTCATTCGGGTGAACGTTTGAAATTCATCGACCGAAAAGAAGACATTATTTTGGTTGTCATCTCCTCAATCACGGACAATAAAATCAAAACCGATATGTTTTATTTTTATCAAATTCCTAATGAGTTGATCATGTCACACAAAATTGCATGGGCTTGATAGTGATAGCTTACAAAATGACCAAGATTGTCATGTGATAAATATCATTGTTTTGGATGGTATGTAAAATAACCCTTTATACAAATATACACATATGATTTCTTATAGCTTTACAAACTAACAAAACTCAAACTTGCTAATTTACCTTCCAAAGTGGAAGGTTCTATTAAGTTCTAACATTGAAAAGAAGAGAACTAAATAACAGATGTCTTTGAGACTCAGCCATCTGTATCTGGTAGACCAAAACAGTGGAAGTTTACAAAGTCACGCTTCAGCATATACATATATTTTCAACTTCAGCAGGCAATTGGTCCAATAGCCTCTCCCAAATTAAGGACTTCTCAGGGCTTGTGTTCATCAAAATGGTCTTCAAGTCTCCTGCCTCAACGAGCTTCTCTTGAAATCTATACTCCGGCGATAGAATGATTTTCTACGAAGAGAAACTCAAATGTTATAGTAGTGAATCAGAATAACTATGAGAACTCAACAAGTTTGTGTTTAAAATAAATAAACCAAATAAAAAAAATATAAAAATTATGAAGAGATTAAGACCTTTTAAAAATAATACTTTAATTTAATTTGACTAATGACTCTTTCATTTTTTAAATAATAACTGATTATAATAAATTTAATTCACACCGTCCGGCGATGCGTATCCGCCTTGATTAATTCTCTTTATAGAATGATTTTCTATGAGGAGAAACTCAAATACAGTAGTGAATTGGAAGAAATATCAGAAATCAATGAGTTTATGTTTTAAAATAAATAAACCAAATAAAAAAATATATAAAGATTTATGGAGAAATTAAGACCTTTGATATCCACAAAATATAAGTTGCTGCATGCCGAGCTTGAGCTTGAGCATCATCAAATTCATCAGCTGGAAAGTTAAGGCAGGATTGCAGAAGTTCCATTTCTTCCTTGAGGAAGGAATTCAAGGAGGGAATCATTTCCTGCTCATCTTTGCAAGGGAAGTCATTTGTGATGCGAGTTAGCCAGTAATAGGACAGATACCGGCGATGAATCCACAAAGCCTGTAGAATAAGAAGAAAACAGACATACAACTAAGGGGCAAATCGAAAAAGGAGAACAGTGTTAAAAGATGGTTGGTGGAGTTAGCAACAGCAGCAGGGAGTGACTGGTGGCAGCGGCAGCGGTGGGCTGCAATTTGGCGTTTATTTGAAAATCACTCAAATCTAACAAATTTATAATACACTTGCAAAGTGAATTTCGAATTCATCAAAAAGTTACAACACATTCTATTTTCAACAAACTAAACATAAAAATTTTAAAACCTCTGCATTTCGTGTACATTACAATAAAAAATTATAAAACCAAACAACCCCTAAATGAAGTATTAAACCACTCCAGCAATGTTAGAATAAGCTATACAAAAATGCTGCAGATCTTCCATTCAAGTTTAAACTAGCACAAACTTTCTTCTAAAAAACAAGCAAAAAAAATCCACTAATTAAATTTACCAGCTTATTTTGCCATGTTTCTTCTTCTGAGTCCGTTGGATTCCTTCGAGACATTTATTTGATGTATAATAGAATTCCATACAAAATAGATCTATTGTCTTGGATAACGTGTCTGCAAGCTTCACTTTCTGCTGAAAATCATCAGCATTTCCAATGCTAGTGATTTCGAATGCTAGTGAGAATCCATTTAGTCTGTTCTTCGCTAGACCTTGGGTTTACATATAGCTCAAAATCTACATTTTATCTAAGTTGCAGATACATACCACCTATGTCCCATATATTTATATATCTAAATCATAAACTTAATGATTCTTTTTATACTGCAGATAAAAAAAAAGAAAATGAAAGAATAGGAAGTGATAGAATTTGTCCATAAAAAAATTTGAGAATTTAAATATCAGAGAATTCGAGAATTTGAATGATGGTGAAGCCCACAGACTGCCTCTGTTACCCGCACCAGGAAGTGAGGAAGTCTTGACCGTGCCTCTGCTATCAACATTGATGACAACTGATGAAGTAAATTCAGATCAGGTGGCATCTGAACGAGTTTACGCTAGAAAATGGTTTATAACAGTTATAACAATCCTCACTATAACTGTTGTCGCGTTAGTTATTTTTTTTTCTTTATAGACAATATAATCATAAATATAGAAACCTAATTTTTTGATATGTTTACCTCTGTTTTATTTACTTGCAATGAATCTTTTTCACTTTAATGTGTGTGTGCGTAATATTTATATTTAATTAATTGATCAATTAATTAAATATAAATATTACGCACACACACATTAAAGTGAAAAGGATTCATTACAAGTAAATAAAACAGAGGTAAACATATCAAAAAATTAGGATTCTATATTTATGATTATATTGTCTATAAAGAAAAAAAAATAACTAACGCGACAACAGTTATAGTGAGGATTGTTATAACTGTTATAAACCATTTTCTAGCGTAAACTCGTTCAGATGCCACCTGATCTGAATTTACTTCATCAGTTGTCATCAATGTTGAATATTGTGTAAATATATATTAATCAATATATTTATATACCTATATATTATTACTATATACATAAAATAATAAACTGGACCCCAACTAAAATCAAACCTCTTGATTTGGATGGGGCCCACAGTTTTTTTTTTTACCAGCGCAAAAAGGTACAGATAAGTTGTATGAGATGACTTAAAAGAAGGCCCAACTCACACAATACAATACACAGAAATCCAAAGAAGCAATGATACACACAGATAACAGGCACAAAGATGTTAAAGACGTATCACTTTAGTTCTTCCTCTGTCTCTAGTTCTCGAAAGGGAGCCAACTAACAAATTCGTAAGGTGCGTACCATTACCCGAAGTAAACAAAGTATCATCCATCAGATTTCTGAGCTCAAGTATGTCTCCATTCTTCTTCTTCCTCCTGGATGTGTAGACATGTCATTCTTCATCCGAGGATTGACTCAATTGATCAATGAATTGTTCCAAATGTGGTCAGACAGGAGTAGGACGTTGCACATCTTGATCCCTCAGAGTTTTGAGTAGCATTGACATCTTTCTGGGCCTGATGAGGCGGTAGTGAAGCAGCAGAGGTATTTTCACTTGTAATATCAGTGATAGGTTCTAGAGCAGGCAGAGTTTAAAGAATCTCGCTCGCCTCCGCGATAGGAGGTTTCAAAGACAGAGGAGCTACAACAATGTGTGGACTGAATGGTTGATATATTGCCTGCGGGAATAGTGATATCTTCAGGTGTATCCTTTTGATGATCGATAGTATCAATAACTTGGAGCTGATCAGGAGTTTGAATCACTGCCGCTAGCGGAACACTTTGTTTTTTTGGTCTGAGGTGAGGATGTAGATATATATATATATATAATGGCCACATAAATATAAGATTTAATCTTTTTTCTATGCTTTCTATTTTATTTTATAATTCACTTAACTTTAAAAGTTAATAAACTGATTAACTTAAAATTCTCTTGTTCTGTTATTTGTTTTTAATAATTACTTAATTAAGAAATGTTCCCGGAATCTTTTAATTACACTTTTGATTTAAATTTACCTTTCATTTATTTCTACTTCTTTTTTTTTTGTTATTTATTTCTGCCGTAAATAATAAAATTAATTAATTGAACATAAATATTACACACACACATTAAAATGGAAAGGATTCAATGGAAGTAAATAAAAAAACAAAAAAATAAGATTCTTTTTTAATAATTCTATTATCTAGAAAAAAAAAAACTAACGGATAATAATTATTGTGAGGATCGTAATAACTGTTATAAACCATTTCTGGTGTCCACCCTTCCTTCAGATTCAAATGCCACCTGATCAAGCTTTACTTCGCACTTGTCATCGGTGCCAGCGGTAGAGGCACGGTCGAAACTTCCTCACTTCTTGGTGTCGTTAGTAGAGGCACAATTTGGCATGACTTCAACATCATTTCGAATTCTCGAATTCTCTTCGAGCTTTCAAATTCTTGAATTTTCGATGAACAATTTTGTAACTTCTTATTTTTCCAATTTCTTTTTTTTTTCATCTGCAGCATAAAAAAATCATTAAACTTAGGATTTAGATATATAAATACATATGATATAGGTGTTATATATCTACAAGTTAGATAAAAGGAAGATTTTGAGCTACGTGTAAACCCAAGGTATAGGGAAGAACAGACTAAGTGGATTCTCACGAGCATTAAAAAGACTGAAGATTCTCAACAGATAATGAAGCGTGCAAACACGTTATCCAAGCCACTAGATCGATCTTGCATGGAATCCTATTGAACACAGAAAATGTGTCAGAGCGAATCTGAAAGTAATCCAACGGACTAAGAAGAAGTGACATGGCTATTTTTTTATTTTTAATAAAAGGTTTGTCGGACATGAAGTGAAGAAAGTAGGGACCAAACCTTATTTGACCCAAAACAAAGTGCAACATAAGAATAAGAAGATTAATATTTAAGAAGTCAAGGAAGTTTAATAAAGGATTTTAGATTTGGGTTGAGCTCGCTTTACGACATTACCACAAATTGATTTTAAAATTTACTAGCTCCTTTGGAACTCTACACGACACTTAGAAGATAAAAAGATTGCTCATGAAACCTCCTCGCAAATGATGATAACAGACATGACTTAGGGTTTGTTTAGGATAGCTGCAGCTTATCATTTTATTAAGTGCAGCTTAATTGTCTCAGGAAGCTGTTGCGGGGAAGCTACTGACAACTGATTGAAATTAGCTGTGTGGCAGCTGTTTCTAAAAAATGATCATTCTGTCAATGTTTAGTAATATTATTTATAACAGAATTGTCATAGTCATATATTTGATACTTCAGAAACAGAAATTCACATCTGAACAATACAAAAATTTAGATACACACATCACTTAACAACGAGCACCAAGAGTGTCAAAAAAAGACAAAAAATTTAAAAAATTACAATTAAAGTAAAAAATGCAGCGGTGTATACCCCATGCTACACTGGCCTCCAGTGATTGCATATATTCTCAATCATCATAGACAGTAGAATCAGTTGGACTGTCTGCCCGTGCTACACTGACCTCAAGTGATTGCATCAATTAATATGTGTGTGATTGAAAAATATGACTTTTTAAGCATAATATTTGCAATTCAGTTTGCATGAGCATGCTCAAACAGACCATAACTACATATGTTTCCTAGGAGTTAGCATAGAAATGATAACATAGAGGATATGTTGTCATTTCTTACAATATTTTCTCATTATATGTCCCAAGGGGTATCAGCAACTATGCATAATATTTCATCACAGTAATTTTTTTAGGCAATCTATTTCACTCTCACTTTAGAGAATGTGTGTAATTGAAAAATATGTTTTTCTAAGCATAACATTTGCAATTCAGTTAGCATGAGCCTGCTCAAACAGACCACAACTACTTATGTTTCCTAACAGTGAGCATAAAAGTGATGGCAAAGATGATCTGTTGCTCTTTCTTACAATATTTTCTCATTCTATGCCCCATAAGGTATCAGAAGTTATGTATAATATGTCATCACTGTAATTTTCTGAGGCGATCTATTTCACTGCCTCACTTCAGAGAGTGTGTGTGATTGAAAAATATACTTTTATAAGCATAACATTTGCAATTCAGCTTGCAAGAACATGCTCAAACAAACCACATCTACATAATTTTTCCTAACAGTGAGCATAAAAATAATGACAAAAATCTGCTGCCTTTTCTTACAATTTTTCCTCATTATATGACCCAAGGGTTATCAGCAACTATGTATAATATGTCGTCACAATAATTTTCTGAGGCTATCTATTTCAATATCTCACTTTAGAGTATGTGTTCGTGAATGAAAAATATGCTAAACGATGATACCGGAAATATAAAAGAAAAGTTTGTTATACGGTGCAAATCCACGAGAAACAAAAATTTCTCAAAGAAAATATAAGGAAAAGTAATACCAGAAGAAGGTGGTGTCCGGAAGGACGGGTTAGGGCAAAGGAAGCAGGAGCTCTGTGGTGAAGGTAAGGGCAAAATACGAATGCGGGGTGGAATTCAGGGGCAATCGTGTAAAATATCGAAGAAAAAATGTAGGCCGCAGGGTCGAACCTCTGCGTTTTGCTAAACGGCGCGGCCGCTGCGAACATAACAATG